GGCAGGCACAGCAGGGCTGGGTGACTCGGGGCAGCATGGCGCCTGGCCTGGGCTTGGCTCCTCCCCGACCACCTGCCACAGCCCAATCCCCGCAGGCCACGCTGAGGGGCCCTATGCTCCGGGCCTCTAGTATTTTAATAATCTACTAAAATGTTTTCAAAGAACTCCTAATGACCTGGGAAAATGCTTATGCTCTACAATTGAGTGAAATTCCTAATATACGAGGTCAATTACATCGAAAGGTTATGTACACACAGGGAAAAATATATCTGGTTAGAAACAGATGTAGATTACTAAAAGTCTTCCCTGGGTTATGGAATCATGGATGATTTAAATTTTCTTTACACTTTTCTCTATTTCCCAAGGTTTTCTTTGTTGATGCTGTTTTATTTTATTATCATTTTTTAAAATAAGTTTTTATTGATTTTTAGAGGGAGAAAAAGACAGAGGAATAGCAACATCGATGAGAGAGGAACATCATCGATTGGCTGCCTCCTGAATGCCCTCTACTGCGGATCAATTCCGTAACTTGGGCATGTACACTGACTGGGAATCGAACCTGGGACATCTTGGTTCCTGGATTGACACTCAATCACTGAGCCACACCGGCTGGGCTTGATTATTATTTTTATTTTCCCTGAGATTGCAAATGTCTTTTTATGCAGGAAATTAAAGAAAAGGTGAAGGGTAAATTTGAGTGATTATCTATCCTGACAACTGATTCCAATATAGGCACCACAGACCCTTAAAAGATCAAAGAGAAGACTCTGGGAGCTCATGCAAATCAAGTATTATCTGTAACTTAGTAATTTGTTTCACATTCACATGAACTATTATTTTTTCAAATAGATCCCCTGAAATTCAACCTTACTGAATCTGTTCAATCTCTATTTTTCACATCAATAGGTACCAAAAGTAAAAAAAACAAAACAAAAACCTCCTAGCATAGAGGTCCTCAAAAACTGATTCCCTTCTACTTACTGCCTGCAGGCTGCTTTACTGGAATGTCTTCTGCTACTGCACCTTATATAGGATGGGCTAAACAGTGTGGTTCACATTCAGCTAATAAGTTCCATTACATGTTCCTATTTCTCTGCTATGACTTTTTCTTATATTCTAAGCTGCTCTAAAACCTGTGCTGTGTGTGTTCTTACACTGTTCAGACCCCAGAACATAATTTGAGTTATAAAGGTAATAATCAAATGCTAAAGTGAAAAATGCACTGTGCCCAGAATGGCTTTGTAAAAGCTGTTTTAGTTAAACATTCAGGTTTTCTCCTTATGTAAGACAGAGATTACTAAATTTGAGTCCTGGTTAGGTGTGGCATTACCAATCTGCGATTGATCATGGGGAAATCATTTAATGTGTGCTGAGGCTTCTACAACTGCTCCGTAATAATCCTCCCCAAAATTAAAGTAAACAAATAACTTAATTACCATTATAAAATATACTACAAAAAGCAGGTCATTAATAATAAACCATTCGTTGTTCAAAAGCATTTAGTTTACCTCAAAGAATTATTCTCTGCTTTTTGCCTGCCAAGTTCACTTTCGGTATCCATTGCCTTTCTTGCTAATGATTTCATTTCTTTCTCCACAGTGGTTATGGTCTCCTTCATCAAAGTCATATTTGACATTTGCTCCATACGTTCATCATCAAGCTACACAAGTAGAATGACAAGATTACTGCTCCCCTCTCTACTGCATTTTTTACTCATTATAAAAACATAGTACAGATGAATTTATAAATGCATACAATTAAATTTGGTAACAGAAAGTCAAATTCCATCAATTCTGTTTATATAGTCATAATATCTCAAGTATAGCATCTCAAATCCTTCATTAATAAAAATGGTGATGACTCACATTTAAATTCAGTTTACATATATTTTTCTCATTAGTTTTCATTTCTCCATCATTTTCTCTACTCTAGCTACTCTTTAGGTAGAATAATCCAGTTTCCCTGTGTCTGGAAATGTTCTCTTTAATGAAATACAGAGATTAAAATTGTGCTAAAATTCCTTAGAATGCATCCCTGATTTTTTAAGCCATTTTGCAACCTAACATGAAAAATATTATACTCACATTTTTAAAAGGAATAAACAGTTTATAACATATATATATATATCATCTTCAGTATTTTAGGATTAGAAACCCTATCATAGAAAAATAAAAGAACTTCTCTGGACATAGTAAAAAAGGAAAAGAAAGTCACTGACAGTTTACAGCCAAAAGTGCAAAAGTAACTTTTCTTTACATTATGAACTGTACACTCCAGCTCCTCTATCCTCTGTTCCAAGTGAGCTTTCTCATTAAACGCTGTCTCTTGAGCAATCTGGTTAAAAAAACAAAAACAAAACAAAGCGCTTTCAATGTCACTGTGTCGTGTTTCACAAATGTTCACATAGATAAAATTCTCTCAAACCTTTAGCCTTTCCCTCAGACTATCTCGTTCTGTGGTCATTCTTCGTAAATCAGTGAAGGCTACATCTCTTTCAGTCTCCACCCGCCGGAGGATGGCATGTGCAGTTGTTGATTTAGGAGACTTACAGCTTTTCATCATTTCTCGGCGAAGCCGGGCAATTTCTTCCTTCGCCTATTTTTTAAATACATAGACAGACTCCTGTTTAACAAGCTTTAGAACAAACATAAAATAGCTATATACATCCAGCCAGTTATAACCCAAACATATTATCAATAGCTATGGAGTAGAATACTTGTGTAATTGTGACTTTATCCAAATAAATGCAAATGATGCCTCCCCAAATAAGAATGGTATATACAAACAGAAATTTGGTATATAATATCTTTGCCAAAAAATTTTAAAAATTAATTTGGGGGCAGTCAATACAAGATAAATTATACACACACACACACACACACACACACACATAGTATACTCCATCCATGTTGTGATATAAACATGAATTCAGCACAATTCAGGTAGAATAAATATTATCATAGTGTTACAGTCTTTTTCTACATAAATGTATAGGCCATAGTCATGAACTAGATATCTTTACCTTGAAGAAAGGCCCACCAATCTTTAATGACAACCCAATATACTCTCTACATGCTGTTCAACCATCCTTGGTTCTAAATCTATTCTATGCCTTCAGATGATTTCATATCCTACTTTGGCGTTTAAGCACTTATCTTCCTTCCTCTCTATTGTAATCACTATCTATTCAGCTAGTCTCCAAGTCTCAGAGGAAAATATGTTATTTCCCAATTTCCATAGCTAAGCCTTCACCAACTGATCTATAATGTGGTATATATGTGGATGGGATTCCAGTTTCTTTCTTTTTTTTATTGATTTTTTACAGAGAGGAAGGGAGAGAGATAGAGAGTTAGAAACATCGATGAGAGAGAAACATCGATCAGCTGCCTCTCGCACATCTCCCACTGGGGATGTGCCCGCAACCCAGGTACATGCCCTTGACCGGAATCGAACCTGGGACCCTTCAGTCCGCAGGCCGACGCTCTATCCACCGAGCCAAGCCGGTTTCGGCCTGTTGTGCCCATTTACCAACCTATGACTCTCCTTTGTTTTCAGTGTCTGTACCATGGCCTGTTCCTTGCTACCCACTTTCTCACCCCATTGTAACCTGGCTTCCACACCCACTATTTGCAGAATTTCAACTAATGACCTCACCAAATCTAATGGCCTTTTCTTGGTTTTTGTTTTTGATACTTTGGCAACATTTGACATTGTTTTGAACTCCCTCCTTGATATTTCTCTCTCCCTTGGTCTTATAATATTGTTCTGCCTTGGTTTCCTATCTTCTTTCTCTTTCCAATCCAATAAAACTTCCCCAAATCCTCTATTTACAGCTTTCTCGTTCAGAGACTTCATCTACTCTGAAAGCACAAAACTCACCTCTAGGCAGGTGATTTCTAAATAAAAGTATTCATCCCACATTTCTTACTGCCTGATGGCGATTCCTACCAGAATGTACTCCATCTGTCTAAACAAAACACATCTTTTCCATCAAATCACCAATGACTTCCCTATTTCTTTTTCTATTACCACATTTCTTCAGTCGTTCAAAATAGAACTTCAGACATTTCCATTCTCCCTCCTTTTGGCTCTAATCAAATCTGGCCAAGTCTTCCTTGACGGCATCCTACCTTAGTCCCTTAATGCCTCATGTATGGACTACTACAACGGCCTTCTAAAGAGTCCATGGATTTTCTCTCTCCAGTTCTTTTGAAAGAGAAATCTACATATATAAAAGGTTAATATGCAAAGTGTCCCCTTGGGAATTAGACTGGGAGACCGAGAGTTGGATTGCTCGCTATGACGTGCACTGACCACCAGGGGACTGGGGGGTGGGGGGAGGAGGAAAGGAGGGCACGGAATGAAGGAAGGTCCTGGCTGGCAGCCAGAAGGCCCCAATTGGCCCTGAGTGCTGGCCAGGCCTAGGGAACCTACCTGTGCACAAATTTTGTGCACCAGGCCTCTAATTATTATATTAAATGATAATATATTAGCAAAAAATTAAATTAGACCACCAACTTACACCATATACAAAAATAAACTAAAAAATGGATTTTAAGACGTGAAACCAAAAAAATCCTAGAAGAAACCATTGGCAACAAAATCTCAGATATCTCATAGCAATATGTGTATGGATACATCTCCTAGGACAATGAAAACTAAAGAAAAAATAAACAAATGGGAATACATCAAAATAAAAAGCTTCTATACTGCAAAATAAACCAACAACAAAATAATATGAGAGCCCACTTCATGGGAGAACATATTTGCCAATGAAACATCTGATAAGGGGTTAACTTCCAAAATGTATAGGGAACTCATACAACTTAACAAAAAGAAGACAAACAATCCAATTAAAAAATGGGCAAAGGAATTAAATAGACACTTCTCCAAAGTGGACATACAGAAGGCCGAAAGGCATATGAAAAAATGCTTAAAATCACTAATCAACTGAAAGATGCAAATTAAAACGACAATAAGGTATCACCTCACACCTGTTATCATCAACAATTCAACAAATGACAAGTCTTGGCAAGGATGTGGAAAAAAAGGAATCCTTGTGCATTGTTGGTAGGAATGCAAACTAGTCCAGCTTCTGTGGTGTCTGTGTCCATTGGTTAGGCTTATATGCATGCATACAAGTCCTTTGGTTGATCTCTCCCCCTTACCCCCACCCTCCCCTACCTTCCCTCTGAGGTTTGATGGTCTGATAGAGGCTTCTCTGTCTCTGGGTCTGTTTGTATTCATCAGTTTATGTTGTCATTATATTCCATAAATGGGTATGATCATGTGCTATTTATCTTTCTCTGACTGACTTATTTCACTTAGCATAATGCTCTCCAGGTCCATCCATGCTGTTGCAAATGGTAAGAATTCCTTCCTTTTTACAGCAGCATAGTATTCCATTGTGTAGATGTACCACAGTTTTTTAATTCACTCATCTGCTGATGGGCACTTAGGCTGTTTCCAATTTAGCTATGGTAAATTGTGCTGCTATGAACATAGGGGTGCATATATCCTTTCTAATTGGTGTTCCTAGTTTCTTGAGATATATTCCTAGAAGTGGGACCACTGGGTCAAATGGGAGTTCCCTTTTCAGTTTTTTGAAGAAACTCTATACTGTTCTCCACAGTGGCTGCACCAGTCTGCATTTCCACCAGCAGAGCATGAGAGTTCCTCTTTCTCCGCATCCTCGCCAGCACTTGTCATATTTCTTCTGCTTTAAAACAAAACAAAACTACCCATTGCTTATAAAGCAAAGTATAAACTCCTTGTAATGCCCTGTGTACAGGCTCCACTATATAGTCCAGAAGCTGGTAAACCACTGGCTCATAGTCCCAATCCAGTGAACCTCCTGTTTTTTTGTAGATCTATATAAGCTGATAATGTTTTTACATTTTTAAATGGTTTAAAGCAGCGATTCTCAACCTGAGGGTCGCGACCCTTTGGGGGTCAAACGACCCTTTCACAGGGGTCACCTAAGACCATCGGAAAACACATATATAATTACATATTGTTTTTGTGATTAATCAGTATGCTTTAATTATGTTCAATTTGTAACAATGAAATTGGGGTCACCACAACATGAGGAACTGTATTAAAGGGTCACGGCATTAGGAAGGTTGAGAACCACTGGTTTAAAGAAATCAAAAGAAGAAAAATATATCATAACAGATAAAATATGAAATTTCAGTGTCCATAAATAAAGTTATATTGTAACAGAGCAAACATATTCATTTGTATATCATCTGTGGATGCTTTCAAACCACAAAAACATCTGAGTAGCTATGACTGAGATCATGGCCTGCAGAGCCCAAGATATTTATTACCTGGACCTTCACAGAAACGTTTGCAGACTGCTGCTCTGGTTCAATCTACCCCACAAGTGTCAGATCCCCCGTCCTCCACTGTCACATACCTTTGATGCTAGTCTTTGACTGAATCACTTGCCTGTGATTTTCCTGCCTTTATCATCATTTCTTTAATCTAAATGTTCCTTCTTTCAAGATTATAGAAACTCCATTAATACAGCCCTCAGGACTCAAACTCTACATAGTCTTGTAAAGATTTCCTTGATCACCAGAAAGAAAAGTACCCACTACTTCTGCTAAAATAACAAAAAATAGCTACCAATACACACAATATACCTTATCTCCCCAACAAGATTGCAAACATAGAAAACAGTGTCTGTGAATGTTTTTAAACTATGTTCCATGGGACTCCATGGCTTAATGAGGCCATTGGGTGGATCACAGCAGCTTCTCATTAACCAATTTACACTTCAAATCTCAATATAAAACTGTCTGAAGAAAAGGAACAGGCAAAATTTGAAAATCACTAACTTATACTATATGTAAACAAGTGTAGGATTTTCAAGGCAGAGGCTTCTGTAAAATAATCTCACATCTTACACTCATGCACACAGACATCTCATTAAAGGACTTTCCAGCCCCTTAGCAGTCCTGGCTCTGTAATCATGTGTATGTACACCGACTCAGGTTTCATGATACAGACACAGAGACCAGGGAATTCTAATCAAAGCCCAGTAGTCACCCCACACACACTTCAGACACCAGGGAATTATAATCAAAGCCCAGAAATCACCCCCCACACTTAGAAGTGGTAGCTGCTATTTAAACTGTCCAAACTAAAAACAAGAACGCTATTATAGAAGAGAATATCATGTAGCACCCATTAAATAGCTAATATAATGTTTTAAATTTTAAGTATACTAAAATCTTATTAAGATACTGCTGAGAAGAAGAAATTAACAAGATTGAGATTAGAGTGAAGGAAAAGAGTACTGTGATTTAACCAAAAGGATTCTATAGTATACTATATACTCTGGGCATTTATTTTATACTAGTAGCCTGGTGCACGAAATTCATGCACACTGAAAGGGAATTAATTAGAGGAATGTAATTTGGACTCACTATCTAATATCAATAACATGTGAGCGTGAGGCAGTCTGCATTTCTGAAATTCAATGACATGAATTTTAGCTATTACTTTGCCAAATAAATGGAATTTACAGGTATCATTTAAAAGAGCATTCAGCTTAATATTAAAAACTCTGGCTACCAAGTCAGGTCTGTTTTCAACTTTTTGTCAGCATTGTAAATTGCAGTATCTGCCCATTTGGGGTTGCACATCATGGTTATGAATAAATCGGGCTTGCCATACTTTGTTACAATTGTCATACTTCATAACAATTGCCATAGCATCCTTCATTACAATTGCTATATCACTGCTGCTTTTTTTCTGGGACTACCCTCAGAAGATGATGGGAGTATTATCACTTTACCAATCGGCGCATTGTCATTTTCAGATCTAGATTTGAGATAATCCATCAAACCACTATATTTTTCAACTTTCAACTTAGATTTATCTGCTTTGATGAAATTTATCTGATTGGACTCCATTTTTAAATATGAATCCATGATAAACTATTGAGTTAATTTTCCTGCATTTAAAATAGGATTAAACGTGTCCCGCACAAAGAGATGAAATCCATAATACTGCATTTATGTGACTCGTGTCTTAGATTTTGTCTAGTATTATTGTCAATTACACTGTTGTCTCTGAGTCTTAATGCAATATCTGTTCCCCAGC